AAATATTGTTGTTACTATTATTAATATTAATTATTATTAATTTTATTAATCATTAGGCTCAATTTTAAATCAAAATCAATCATGGCAAACGTGGCTTGATTTTAATAAAATGGAACAGTAGTTATTTCAACGTAAAAGTCGTTAACATATTTTGAAAATTTTTAGAAATAGGTTAGATAGCTTGTGAATTGAAATTCTCAATTAGTATCTTTGGATAATTGTTAAAATTATATTAAATAACAAAAAAAAAATATTCAGAATAGAAATTTTCTTCTTTATCTTCGCGTTTCATTCTCAAGCTAATTCTTGTTCGATTGCACATTCTTTCATTCTCGAAACATTTCGTGAGGTAATCAGAACTCGTGTTTTAAAGCAGAAGTTCTATCTATGTCATTAGCAATATAATAGTTGCGACTAAATCAAGTCAACTCGGAAAAGTTTCATGTCGATACCATAGTTAGATCCTTAACCAACCGATTGTCGCTGCGAACAGCGATAAAGGAACGTTGGTTGCACGATATAGGCAAGGCTCGTTTTTTTCCTCGGCACGCTAAAAACCTCGTCGATAAGCGTGGCGTGTGAAACTGTAACCATTACTTTCGTTTCTCGCGTGGAAGCGGTGACTCGTTGGAAAGAATACGTTCGATTTTTCAGTGATTCATTCTTAGCTCGATTACATTAAAATATATACGCTTAAAAATTGAAACAAAGTCAGAAAAGTAGTAAAATTCAAAATGGAATGAATATCAAGAACAACAAAATTACATTGGTAGCTTTGTTTTCAAGAGAAATGCATTTGCAAATCGGTCGAGTGCATCTGACTAATTTTCAGCTCGACGACATTGAATAATAATAACACTGAATAATAACATACTATTAAATTGATATGAAAAGAAAAAGTATATATTTTTGTACAATAAGTAATATTCATTCTTTATTTAGAAATTAGTCACATTAGTATATTTCAAATTTAATTTTAATCGAAAACGAATAACCTAACCTAAAATGTAATTTTGTTATTCTCACTTTTCATCTTACTTTACCTTATTTGTATTTACAAGGGATTCCGATACATGATAGAGCGCGATTAATCGTGGTAAAGAATAAATTCTTTCCCAATCTCGTGGTAAATCCGTTCGCAGATTATCGGCCGGATCGAAAGCGCGTCCTGCACTGTCGACGCGATCACCGTTCGTTCGAAGCGTGAAATCATGGCGGCAATTGCCGGCCACCATTCGTTACGCGTCACGTCTACATTTTTAAACGTGGCGTGCGCGATTGCAAGACTAATTGAGGCCTTGATATCGCTACGAATTACCTGCACTTTACCTCGAGGAACCCCTTTTTCTTCCACAGAACGTAGTTAATATGGATTTATTGTACAGTTTCTAGGCGACCTAAAAAAAAGAAGGAAAACAAAAAAGAGACACAGATTTTGATAATTTTCTTCACTTTATCCATTCAATATGATATACGAGTGTACCTTCTTTACATTTTTCATTAAGAGGCCTGGCTAGCCAAGTAATATAATACGTAAATATTGGATAAGTTCCCGAAACGATTTATAACCTAAGTGCCCAGATATGTCTGACTACCTCAGACTATCGATCATCATTGGAATGGATTTATTTTGAAACACGCCATAAAATTCATATTTATTTTGTTTCGATTCTTTTTCATTCGCCATATTTTTTACGATCGAACGTGGACGTTAAAATACAATATCTCTACTTCGTAACTCCACAGTTTCTATTCTATGAAAATATTTGTGATTAATAAACTGTGAAATCGATTCATAAATTTTTTATGAATTATTTTATTGAATATATAAAAGAATATAAGAAAAAAATCGAGGTATGTCAAGAACTTCTTCTATAATTACAATATTTATAATAATATATATATATATTATTAATAATAAATATGATTTATATTTTAAATGTCATTTCATAAGTATTTTCGTTTAAATAACCTGAGTTCAGATGGATTCAATCATATATTTAGTTCGTTTTTCAAATTATATACTGCATGCTTGTTTATTTGTGTTAATTTTGAAACAGACATTCGTATATTTGAAATAATACTTGGCATTAATTCAAATAGTAAGAGCTACTTACTTAATCATTCTCATGTTGACAAAAGTTTCATTCAAAAAATAAATCTGCCGATTAATTATTCCTTCGCTGATTTCAATAATACATCATAAAAAGCATTATTTTAAATAACTTTTCCTATATAATCTTAATTATTCGCATGCGTATAAACAGAATTCAATATGATATCAAAACTTTTTCAACAAATTGGTCAAATATGATATTTTCTTAATTCATATAATATCTAAAACTTAAACAGGTTAGATTAGTTCAGATTTACATTAGCATTCAATATATTTTACAATATAAAAATAATATTTGTTCTTTTACATACCAACCAAAAGTACGAAGCATCAAAGAGGTTATGTTAATTTAGATTTTGATTAGAAAGTTTCAAAGAAATAAATTTTTCCGATATTTCATAAAAACACAGTAATTTACTTCATTTAATAATCAATCCAAATAAGTTAGATTAGATTTGTATTAAATTTAGAAAGATCGACGTTACTAGAAACTCGTTCGTTACGAATTCACCGTATAGTTTCTTTCGCCACGAAGCGACTGGTAGGCGGAGCCAATCGAGTAGAGCACGTGGCGCGCGTGGAACGCTGTGAACTCGTCGTGCCGCAGTTACCTCTTTCGACCTGTCAACAATAGACGTATCGCGTCGCACAATCGAGTACAAACCACTTTCTTCCATGAAACCGTCAACCGCGAAAACGACTCCGCTGAAAGTGAAATGTTTCTCTCACCTTTTCGTTATACATCGTTATACATCTGTATTTATCGTATTAATTAATAATTAAATTGGAAAGAAAGTGATCATCGTCGCTTCGTGAATCTATCAAGAAGCATCAAAATTTTGTGTTTCACGAGTGATCTTAGTGAAAAAATAGTGAGGGAATGTACAGTTTCGTTGCGAAGTGACGAGTTTTCGAAAAGTTCCCAGACACAAAGGGGATGCATAATGGATCGTCGGTCTGTGCGAAACGATTGAAAGTCAGGACTCGAACCGAGTCAGGGATTCATTTCTACTTGTCACAGTTTCGTGAGTTTCATAGAGGGAGAGTGGGGAAGAAGTTGCGTCAACGGGATATACGAGTTGTTAGGGAATTGTCGCGAATTGGGATCCGTTCGGTTCACTTGGTTTCGATTCAGTGGCCTTGAAAACGTCGATACCATTGGCTGACGATTCGCCTCCATTTTAAATCACTCGGTTAGACTAACGTATCCTATACCGGTTTCCCGCGTTTACCATCTGTCATAGGAGAGAAAAGGAAACGAAAGTATTGATGCTACGATAAATTTTTTCGCGAATTAACATAATCAATTGTTTCAAGTGCAGTCGAATTTCGGTAATTTTAGTAATTTTAAGGGAAGAATATTCGTATAATTTATATTAATTATTACTTTTATATCAATGAGACGAATATTTATTTTAGCTATTGATTTGTATGGCATTGTGTGCAAAATTTTATAAAGAGATAGAATATATTGCAATAGTGTTCTATTTTTAAGTGAAAGATTCAAGATATAAAAATAATTTGAATTAATTAAAAATTAGTGATAATTTATTGGAAATTAAATTACGATCTAGGTGCAACTAAATTTAATTGGAAATTTAATTTATTAAATCTAAATTTAAAGAAAAATTTAAAATTATGTGTTTCTGTGAATTTTATTTAAATTTTCGAGTGAGAAAAATTTTAATCGTCTTAAATACGAGTTAATATTTTTTCAAACATTTTTTTGAAAACCACAGGGGAAAAAACATTTGATAAATTTAATTTATATAAATGTTTTAATTTTTACGTTTATCTAATATTTAAAATAAAGTGTTTTAATATGTGAAAAGTTTAACAAATTTCGAAATGTAACTATTTATTAATTATACAAGAAAATAACTCGAATTTTAAAAATCCTCTTTTATAAAAATTAGATTAATAATTACTTTTTCTCAAAGTGTCAAAGAAAGAGAAATTCGTAAGTATTCTTTTTCGTTTTAACAATTTTAATAATTAATTCTTCGATTATTTAAAGAATCATTTTACATGATTGATTAATCAAATCAAAAAACTATATCCAAAATTATAAAAACAGTGAACTTTTATAAACTGAGTAGAAAAATTATGAAATGATGAAAATATTAATAATCAGAAATTCAAGGTTAGAAAAATCACATTATAAAAGAAAATTGATGGAAAGAAAATTTACTTTCTATTATTATTGAATGAGATTATTAAATGCATTATTGGAAAAATGATATAATAATAAGTATATTATGATTTCATAATTTTTTATGAACGATTAATTTTTATTTGTGCCTATTTAACGTATAAACAGATAGGATATATGCAATCATTGTAAAATTAATGAAATTATAACAAAATGGCAATTGACTTTTTCTTAAAAAGATCAATAATTTCATTGCTTGTAAATAGACTAGACGGATCTTTATGCAAAATTCGAATGTACAAAAACTGATAGAATGTATATGATATGCAAAAAAGTACAAAGTATCCAATCTATATCTATAAACTTCATTTCTTTAGCCATGTTCATAAAAATTTGATTTTGCATAAAAATCTGCAGTCTACATGATGAGTCATAGCAAAAAGAAGTTACCATTTCTTCGTAACGAATATAAATATAAATGAATATCCATGTTCTTCTGTATACCAGAGAAAAGAAAAGAATTTTGTTCAAAAATTCCATGAAAAACGAAAATCCTTATTTTGGATCATCAAATGTTCCAATTAAACAAGTTTAAATTTAAAGATATTCACGATCGAGAAGCAAAAAGAAATGAATAAAATTCTACTCTCAAGGTTTTTATTATAAAGAGACTTTCTTAATTTACAGAAATTTTCGCAGTGAAAAAAAAAAAAAAAAGGAAAAGCAAAATTGTAATCTTAATAGAGATTTTTTTTAATCATAGAGGATCGAATTACAGAGGTTCGACTGTACTATTCGTCAGAGGCACGGTGAAACTGTGGTGTACAGTGTCGCACAGAGTATCGATTACCATATCTGGACTAGTAGCTGGAACGATAATAGGGGCATAAATATTACTTGAACATTGCGGTCTACTGCTTTTACTTTCCCGCGTTACGCTCGTCGGTCCAGCAAGTTTCTTTTTACCCCGTCATCTTGCCTACAAAAAAAAAAAAAGAAGTGAAAAAAAAATTTCCAACATTTTTCCATTTTTTTTAAATTTTTTCAACGAACATCGGTTGTTCAATAAAATTAAATGTATGCTGTAAAAAATGATTTAACACGAATGTATTTACCGGTGATGGGATTAAACGTATCGCAAATTGATAAATAACGTTGATAAATAAAATTCGAATATTTTGTGAGTATTTGAAAGAAAAGAAACGATACTTTCAAATAGATTTGAAATTTAAACGAATAGATCAAGATTTAAGAAAATTAATTTTCTTAGTTATCTTTGAAAATCATTATTATAATTCTCTGATGTAAAAAATATCTGATAAAATGGCATTATTTTTCTTTAGAAATATTGTTTCACGTTTCAACAAAACTATATTACAGACCAAACATTATTTTCGAATAATTACATTCTCGTAGAAAAATTACAGGAATTTTGTCTATCGTCTATACGTTTCAAAATAATTTTTTAAAATCTCTTATAATTCAATTATTACATTAAAAGGTGCGGTTCAATATCGAAACAAATAGATTTTCAAAAACCAAGTATTTGTTCCAAAGTTCGTAAACAATTTACGAAATAGATCAAATATTTCTCAAATATCATAAATAAATATTCATTACTTCTCATTTTAATAATATTCGATAATTTACCATTCTTCTACGAAACGAATATTTGCATTGAATTTGATTTGGATTCATAAGTACATATTGAATTTGATTCCATCGCTGGTATTTACCCAATTACAGCTCGATTATAATGATTCCTCTCTTCATTCGGTCTATCCCTCCTTCACTCTTTATTTCGTCCACGAGAAAAAGTTGACTTTAAGTTATACATCTGCGTTTGTTAGGTTAAGGCTGACTCGTGTGAACGAAATCGTCGGCCCATTAATTACGTTCTTGGCCACGGCGTAATGAGGTCGCGGCTGTTGAGTGCTCTCTTTGACGGAAAGTTGCCTTCCAATGATATTTTGTAAAAGATCCTCGCGATCAGGCACGTTCGAACTACGATGGATTTCGGCTAATGGCGCTCCTTAACGTTGAGTGGGGATCAACTATTGAGTGTCGGTGTATAAACAAGGGAGACGAGGATTTATCGCGATTGTTGGGGATACCGTGATTTGGTTGGGAAGGGGGGATCGTTTTGAATGGGACAGTCGTTAGGGATGGAACATACAAAAAAGAGTGATTTAATTTGAACGACTCGAACTTTGTGCTATTAATGATCGTGGTTGTTAACAAGACTTTCGGATATCGGATCGTTGATTGAGTTCTGTGAGTTTGTTGTAATTGGTGATAGGTTAACACGTTCAATGCGGCAAAATCGAAGAGAGTTCCTGATGCTGGATATCGATCTTTTGATGATAAGTATGGAATACACAAGTTATAGAATAGCGAAAAAATTGACGAAATTTGTATACGAAATGTGTATACGAAACGGGAATATCTGAAAAATTTTACAATTTTTACATTTTTTTTTTTTAAAGAAAATAAATGATATATGATTTTATACAGTTACCAACTGTAGGAAATCTTCATGTTATATACGTTCACGTCACCCGCATTGAATGTATTAAATCAGGTTAGGTTGAATTAAGTTAGATTATATTTTATGCCAATTTTCTTTTTATTTTTTGAAAATTATTTATTTATTTATTTTTGTTACAATAAAATATATCAACAAAGAATTAAAAGATCTCGATTATAGTATTATAGTTGTTTATTTAATTATAATAAAAATTTCAAGACGACGTATTCGTATCATTTTAGATAGATAATTAATAATTTTTAAATTTTTATCTATCTTTTTATGTATCTTTCTACGTATCTTTTTATTAAAAGAAAATTTTTAACGTGTTCATTGTGGAATATGAAATTCTGATATTTTTCAGATGACAAATTTTGATATATTTTTTCATGAAAATTAAGATATACATTTTTTTCTAAATGAAGTTTATTTGAAAATAGCGATATCTATTTATCATAGAGTTGAACAACCGATTGTATTGTTTACGAACATTATAATTTTTCACAAATGACAAATTTTGGAACTATTAAAAATTTAAAATATATAAACTTATAGAAATTATTTAAAAACTTATAACAAATTTTTTCTTTCTTGTAATAATATACGTATGTATTTCTTTTTGGATTATATTACATTTAAATTTCAAAATTATTAATAATGTATTTAAATATTATCATCTCTAATATTTTCGTTAATTCAACTCATGATTAGAGTTTAACACAATAATACATAAGCCTCAATTGATATTTTTATATATCAATTTTTATGTTTATTTCTATGTTTAGAATCAACTTTCCAAAAATCCTTTTATCTTATCATTCTATACAATATCAAAATATTGAACATTAGAATTATCAAATTAAATTTATTGATTTTGTATCTTCTTTTTTTTTTTATAATTTATTAAAAATGTGCAACTATCTTGTTTTTTTTAATTAATTTAAAAAAAAAACTCATAGAACTTAATTAACGACCTAATTCGCTTTTCATGGTTTATAATACCAGAGAGTATACGAAACATTTTATCGATACGAATAAATTTCGAATGTTGGAGGAAAACAATACCTTCATTTTCCGATACGCTTCCTTGTTTCTCGCACGATCAAACAAGAAAAAAGAAATATCATATTGGAACGAAGAGGCGAATTCAACGAATAGGCAATCGTGGAAAGTTGACTCGAATACATCCTTTCACGGAACAAGAGTCGCGTGACTGAAATCGATGGACAAAAAAAAAAAAAGTCGCGTTTTATCGTGAATTCATTCGATAATCGTAACTGCGGCGCCCGCAATGCCGCATCGTGTGCGACTTGTTCGACACAGGATTTCGATTTATGCGGGGGCCAAACGAATTCCGCAAGTTTACGTCCGATTGTTTCGACGCAATGATTGATTCCGCGATTCCGCCCTGGAAAAATTTTCTACGAAGGCGAATTTTCCGTTTTCCGTTTCAAAAAAAAAGAAAAAATTCGAGTTTAAATCCGATATCGAACGATGTTATTCGTCATTTTGTGATTGAACCGCGATTATTAAAATAATTTTTGGAAGTCACGAGATCACATTAGTGAATTTGAAAATTTGAAATTGTTTGAAATGGATTACGAGTATTTCGTTTCAAAAAATTTAAATTTAAATTTTGGGATTAAATCGTTGTGATTTTTTTCGAATGATTTCGAGAAATATTTGATATATTTTATTTACGATCTCGAGGCAAAAATTGTAAATGAATTACAATGATTACTTTAGGAAGACTTGAGATTATGATTGGAAAATTATTTGAAATTTTTGGTTGGTCAATGTAGATGGGTCAATCGATATTTAAAATAAAAGTTAAAAGAGAGATATATAATTTAAGTTATCGACTAACCTATGTAATTTCTCTTAAGTTGTGCTCGACATTCTCATTTATCATATCCTCTTTCCAGTTGTATATTCTGGTCGCTATCTCTGGCCATATATTTTATAATTCTTTGTGTAGCATCAACTCAAATTGGAATAGTGACGTGTATGAAGTACAACTCGTAGAAAAGGATGAACTACGATCCATCAAAGGATAAATTAAAAATATTTATTAAAATAGAATGATATTTAAAGTACAAATATATAGTATAAGTATAAAGTAACGATCCATTATTGAAAATTTTATTACGTTATAATATTTTAACAAACATTTAAGATAAAACACAAGCATAAAACAGTTGATACTAAACAACGATTTAATAAATTTCTTTAAACTCTTGAAAGAAGAGAATTAAAAAAAGAAATTCAAATCGAAGAATTTTCAAGAGAAAAAAAGCGTACAATTTCTAATTCTACGAGACACTCGTTTCGGCGGTGCACTTCCGTAAACCCTCGAAACTTGTTATTATTAATTTCCTCACCCACGAATTTCAAAACCCACCCTGCAATTCGAAATATCTATAATCCTCGAGCAATTGGCGGTTCCTCGCGGACCGATCGGCCCGAAATTATCTTGCAAAATAGATCGAATGAAAAAAAATCTTCTCCCCCTTTGATTTGTTTTTCGATCGGTGGCCGACAGGCGCGATCCTGTAAGAATTGCAGGGAGTGTAAGTAGTATCGTCACTCGAGAATATCGAGTCGTGTCACGTTCTCACGTGGCAGACAATCGAAGGGACAGACGAGAGTGGAAAGAAAGGAAGGAAGGAAGTTGAAGTCGAAGAAGGAAGGCGGGGGGGGATGCTCGACCTTGGTCGTTGGTGGTTATTTTAAAAGAGGGACAAGGCCACTCATGGAGCGGGACGGCGAGCGGTTCCTGGGAACGAAACGGGCAGACGGTCGATCGGGGGCTGAAAATAGAGGGGCTCGAACGAGACGACACGGGACGACAACGGGATCTTCCATGCTCGTAGGCTTCGACGTGGTATTATGAACCTGGAATGGCCATCGAGTTCTCTGTTGGAGATTGAGGTATGGCCGCGGTAGCCGGCATCTATGGCTTCTCAGAGGAACGACACGCCAGATATTCAGACCATCGGCAGCATCCGTGAGTTTCACCGTGAAAGACGAAAGCGAATCGATACTAGCCGCGCGATAATCATTTTTCCTTTTTCTTTTTTTCTGCTTGAAAAGTTTTTCCTTGCTTATTATGGGGAATAATATATCCTCTCCCTGCCCTGTTTCTAGGCAATCTTTTTAAGGGAGGAGTGGTAGTGTACGTTTGAATTCCAATGGAATCTGTTAATCGTGATCCAATCGAATCGTGCTTTTAACTTATAAAGCGGTATGACAAGTCAAATGTTTGCAACTCAGCGAGAGGAATGGTATCTCGAGCTTGATTTAAAATAATGAACAGAGTGGTACGTTTAAATTGTGATCTTACTCGAGTAGAAATAATAATTTGGTAGCATTCCAGAGAGAAAAGTGAGTATTTCGATGAGATCAATGGAATAAGAGCCTCTTCATAAGATGTAGCGAGAATGAGAGAAAAAGAGATTACGATGATTCAAATTTATTGAAATTAAATAATTATTGGCAAGAATAATGAGTGAATATGGCGAGAAAACATAACCAAATCTAACTGACAAAGATGGTGATTTTTATATTATTTTTCTTCTAAATTAATTTCAATGGATTAAGTGAGAATTCTTTCGATAAAAAGTATAAATTACAGATGGAAGTATTCAAAATTTGTGTCGAAGGTATTGAACGAAAATCATAGAAATTTTTTCGAATTTCGCATTCTTTGAATAAGAATCACAATTATTGGAATTTGAACGAACGCTACACTCTCCAAAGGTGGAGAATAGTTTTATAGTCAAATCTTGCGACAAATTTTTACAGCAGATTTTTTTTTTTTAAAATACACACGCTCGTCCATTCTCTTTTGCATATAAATTTTCTTCCAAAATTATTATTATTATGCAAATTATACGTAGATTGCTTTCCTCGAAAGGGGCGGCTAATAAAAAGCAGGCAGGAGAAAAAAGCTCGGATGTCCTGCCCAGGATTTTTCTTCCCGCTTTTTTTTCTTTTTTATACACATTCCATGGCTGTAAATCGTTCGAATGCGGGCCACGTTGCATGCATTTAAAGAAAATCCAAAATGTCTTCCACCCCGAAAAATAACGCTTCCGTGGAAGCCCTGGAAATATTTATACTCTACGATTCAAATATTCTGTATTTAGTCTATTTAAAAAAAAAAATATTATTATAAAATTCATAAGAATCATATTTAAACGCATATTTAAAGAGAGTCCAATTATATCGGAAAAACTTGTTATTAGACTGTAAACGTTTATGCAAATTGAAATATTTATATTTGCATAACTGGAGAAATGAAATTTGAATGGAAATC